GCTTGTCATCGGGTTTGTGCATGATGAAATACTTTGTGTGATGAAGATGGAGCATAGCCAGACTATATGATTTTGTAGGGATAACTTGCTTTGGCCATATTATTTTGAGAAGACATTATTGCTTTATTAGTATGCTTGAAGTATTTTTTTGCCAATATTAAACTTTTATTTTGAATCTTATGGATCTGAATATTCATGCCACAGTAAAGAAGATTACATTGATAAATATATTAGGTAGTATTCTAATCAATTTTTTTATTTTTATCATTTACCTACTCGAGGACGAGAAAGAATTAAGCTTGGGGATGCTTGATACATCTCTTCGTGCTATTATATTGTCCGTTTTGGATGTTTTATATGCGTTAATATGTTGTTTTATATTATTTTTGGGACTAACCTATTAACCTAGAGCTAGTGTCAGTTTCCGTTTTTCCTTGTTTTTGAGCTTTACAGAAAAGCAATACCAAACGGAGTCCAAATGGAATAAAACTTTTGCGATGATTTTTCTTGGACCAAAAGACATCAAGAGGACTTGGAGAGGGAGCCAGAAGGTTCCCGAGGAAGCCACAAGCCTGCCAGGCGCACCCGGGGGAGGGGGAGGGGGCCTCCGAGGGTTTGTGGGCCCTTCGGAGGTCTCCTAATCCTACTCTTTGCATGATCAATTCCCAAATAGTCCCAAACCACTAGAAGTCCATCAAAATACTTTTCCGCCGCCGCAAGCCTCTGCTCCCATGAGATCCCATCTTGGGGCCTTTTTCGACGATCCGCCAGAGGGGGATTCGATCATGGAGGGCCTCTACATCAACCTTGCTGCCCTTTCGATGATGTGTCAGTAGTTTACCACAGACCCACGGGTCCATAGCTAGTAGCTAGATGGCTTCTTCTCTCTCATTGATCTTCAATACATTGTTCTCCTCGATGTTCTTGGAGATCTATTCGATGTAATACTTTTTTGTGGTGTGTTTGTTGACATTCAATGAATTGTGGATTTATGATCAGATTATTTATGAATATTATTTGAGTCCTCTCTGAACTCTTTTATGCATGATTAAGATATCTTTGTATTTCTCTTCGGACTATCGGTTTGGTTTGGCCAACTGGATTTGTTTTTCTTGCAATGGGAGTAAGGATGGCAATGGGTAGGGTTTGGATCGGGTTGAACAATATCAAATCCATATCCATATCCATGAAGACAGTCTTTGCCCGCCCATGAAAAAAATCCATGGGTGAAAAATTATGTCCATGTCCAAATCCAATGGATATCCATATCCACTGGATATCCATTGGGTCCTCTCGGGACATATAAATAAGACTTAACACAATATTAACATAAACTCTTCCATTCTTCACCTCGTGGCAGGCTAGGCTTCACATAGGGTAAATCAACATCCAGTAGCAACCTAAGATCATTTAGTATTTTTCTAACAGATGAGAATGACGAGTCATTTAAGAAGGAGATAAAAATAAGGGAAGGGTGTTGGAGTATGTTTCAGAGGGGATTGACTGTCAACTTATAAAAGTTACGATGTAATTTCTTATGCATGTTTTAGATTAAAAAAGTTTAAAATTGCCGTGGGAGATGTGAACATGGGGCAGGGGTAGCAGATTTTTCTCCATTAAGTCTTTCTATCGGGTCGGGTTTGGGTATATCCATGGGTACAAGATTATATCCATGCCGTACCCACGAACAATCGGGTCGGGTTGGGGCGCCGCCCATGGACACAAAAGCATATCCAAACCCTATCCATTCTGGTCGGATATCCATGGATATCCATGTCCATGGATAAAATTTCCATCCTTAAATGGGAGAGGTGCTTAGTTTTGGGTACAATCTTGCGGTGTCCTCAGCAAGTGAAAGAACGGGTAGCGAGGCACGTATTCTATTATTGCCATCAAGGATAAAAAGATGGTGTTTATATCATATTGTTTGCATTTATCCCTCTACATCATGTCATCTTGCTTAAGGCATTACTCCGTTCTTATGAACTTAATACACTAGATGCATGCTGGATAGCGGTCGATGTGTGGAGTAATAGTAGTAGATGCAGAATCGTTTCAGTCTACTTATCACTGACATGTTGCCTATATTCATGATCATTGCCTTAGATATCATCATAACTTTGCGCTTTTCTATCAATTGCTCAATAGTAATTTGTTCACCCACCGTATGCAATCTTCAAGAGAGAAGCCTCTAGTGAAACCTATGGCCCCCGGGTCTATTTTTCATCATATATTTTCAGCTCTATAAACCAAAAAACCAAAAATACCTTGCTATAATTTATTTGAATTTACTCTAATTTGCCTTTTTATTTATCTTTTATACATATCTATATTAGATCTCACTCTGGTTCGAGACCATGAAGGGATTGACAACCCCTTTTTCGCGTTGAGTGCAAGTGTTTGTTATTTTGTGCAGGTGCATAGATTGGACTTGCTTGTGCCTCCTACTGGATTGACACCTTGGTTCTTAACTGAGGGAAATACTTGTCTCTACTTTGCTTCATCTCCCTTTCCTCCTCAAGGGAAAAATCTACGCAAGCTCAAGAAGTAGCACCCGCCTGATGCCAGCTGTCCACATTCATGCTGTCACAGAGCGGTCGCTCCGCATTGACACCGGTCCAAAGCGGACACAACCTCTCACTGGGCCCGGAATTGATGCGGCGCGCTGGTCGAGAGTGTCGCGTCCCTGGTGTTTGCGCCAGTTCAATGCCAAAAAGAAGTTTACTAGACGAGGATATGTATCACGCCCGTTCAATACTTGTCCATCCGTATGCCGCCATTAAGCAGGCTTGTCGGTCGAGGCACCATCTCCAGCGCCGTGCATTGATGGGTCTAGACGCTTGGCCTCTCTGGAGTCCGCTATTTAAAGGCGCCCACACTCGCTAACTCCATACCACACCATATCACCTTTACTTCCTCCTCCCTTGCACCACATCCGCCATGACAGCAAGCTCTAGCGCTTTGTGGGAGAGCCTGTCATCGGAGCAGAAGCACGAGATGGCCGCCCTTGTAGCTTCTTGGTGGATCAAGCATGACATGCCAGTTAACTCGCCCAAGGTCTCCGATGACGACCCTACGATGGAGACGTCCTTGGATGATGGCACCGCGCGGCCTCCCGCACCTGTTCCTGCCAGCTTGACCATGGAGCAGGCGCGGGCGCACTTCGACGCCGCCATGGCAGAGGAGGAGCAGCCGGCGCCGGCTCCTATGTCTTTGTTTTGGCAGGCGCAGAAGGAGCAGCGGTACAACATGTTCTTCCTCGAGCAACCCCGTCTGGCAAAGGGCCAAATTTACGGCGAGCGCTCAAGCAAGGAGGCCGTGGCCACCATGGTTGCCGTGAACCCGAACTTCGTTGTGTTCCAGTGGGTGCTCTATGAGACCGCGTGTGCTCAACGCGCCCCACACAATGCAAAGGCGATACAACCGGATACGAACGTGGCAGCACACGCGCTAGTGGAGCGGGTGGTCAAGGACGAGAACGCCGCCCTCCAACTTTCGGGGGCACATGTGGCAGGTGGACACTGACCGTCCAGGTGCATCATCAACCTCGCGTCCACCGACACCGGTGACGGACAGGTCGCGGGCTCCTCCAAGATGAGCAGGGCATGGGAAGCGGCACACATGTGTCCCAAGTGGGCCGGTCCGTCACCCATGTCCTACTATTCCTCGCCGGAGACCACACTTTCACTTCATGGGTCTTAAACCCCGTAAGCGCTCATGGAGACGGCTGATGGAGGACGTGATCACCGACGCGGAAGACAAAAGAAGTGGACGAGGGCGCCGCCGTATGATAGGTTTAGGTCAGCTGCTCCTTTTTTAATTGAAAAATGTTTGAATTGTAATAAGTATGCTCCGGTTTCTATGAAAATCAGTCAGTTTGCATGAATTACGTCCCATTTGCTTAAACCTTGTTCGAAATGCATGCAGATACATTGGCCGGCTCCCGCATTCGTGTCTCTAAACTGGTTCCCCTGTTTGCGGATGGATGTTAGGAAAATTTGAATCAGTATTGGAGATTCCCATAACTCACGAAAATATAGAAAGTAGGAGAGTTCCAAGCAGTAGACTTGCTTTAAAAAATGAGGAGTATTTGCACGTCTGACATGCATAGTTTACCGCGTACGTGTGCACACGTGGGTCTCTATGTAGAGCAATATGGGCAAGCTAGCTAGCTAGCTGATGCGTACAGTATTACCCTCTCCCGCGAAAAACAGCACATTACAGTACCTTTGATTAACTGGGCCCATGTGGAGTATTTCTACCTGTGGTTACTAACTTATGTCCGTACGTCCGTCCTCCGATTCCGGCGATCATAGACCAAAAAGTTACTGGAATTTTTTTTTGTCCATTTTAATGACAAGTATATTCGGATGGAAGGAGTATTTAGAAACGGACGGAGTATATTCAAGCCAGCAGAAGAGTCTCGTGCTCGATCAACCACCCCGCACCTGTACGTGACGAGGGGAGTCGCGTCACCGTCACGTATGATTAATGCTTGTCAAGTCATTGTAAAAAGACAATAAAGCCGGAAGAAATCAGTTGGGCACTTGGGCGGCAGGGGCAGACGCTGCGTGCAGTGTTCAGCTAGAGGTGGTATCATCTCATATTTCCCCCACTGCTCAGCTAGTCGCAAAGCATGCAACATAGTACATGTAACGGGGACTCTTTTTTTTAGGAAAGTAACGGGGCTAGTAGTACGCGACAGAACAGATATACAGGTGTGGTGGTGGCCTGGTGGGTGCACAACATGGCTTGGCCAACGGGCATGGCATCCAAAGCCGGGTCCCGCTCCTATCCCCAGCGATCGTCGTTCTGTTGCGACCTGGGTTACCATGCGACGCGGATAGCGCGAACATGTGTTGCTGCCCTTACTAAGGGCAGTTCGGCTCGATCCGGCGCTTCTACTGAGAGCATGGTTAGTAGTATAGCCAACTATTGGCTATACGATGTTGACACGTAATCTATAGTCAAACTTTTTTTTTGCGAGTGAAATGGGAGTTTTATTCCAAAAGTGTAGAGTTACAATCAGCCGACAAAAGTTCAGCTATACATGGATGGCCTATGCGAAGCCAACAAGCCGTACTACGATCAATTCTACCATGATTTGCTAGACGATCTGCTACTCTATTCTGGTCCCTAGAAATTTTCATAGGAATAAACTCCCTTCCTACCATCAGATCCTTAATCTCTAAGATGAGATGCTCATTTGCCGATCGGTCTAACTCATTAGAAGTTAGAACAGACAGTGCCGTCGTCGAACCCGATTGAACAACCACCGGAAGAGTAGTATGCTCGACAGACAGTGCCATCCCCTCCATTATGGCGTGTAGCTCCGCCTCAAGAGCATCGTTGCAATGAAAGAAGTGGCGGTGTGCCGAGAAAATAACACTCCCATCCCAGTTCCGAAGAATCATGCCTGACCCTGCTGACCTGTCTTCTGCCAAAAAGGAGCCATCCACTGATAAAGCTACCTTGCCCGGCATCGGCGGCGTCCACGGTTTGTACGACCCTTGGGATTTTTTAGTTGGTACCGTCAAGCACTCCTCCTTCCCCATTTTTCCTTTCACAATCTCTTCTGTACTATACTTATTTGCCTGCTGAATTGATTTGAAATAACTGTCCAGAAACTCTACTGAGACCTCCACCGGAGCAGCTTCCTTACCATGTGTTAAATTTGTACGAACTTGCCACACTCGCCAGACCAACATAATTATCATATCCCGCACTTTGTCCGAACAATTTGCAAGTACGTTCAGCAGCCACTCTTCTCCATTGTCCAGCAAGTACTCGTTCCCCGGCAAAGGCCACCTAGAACGCATGCCATTCCACAACTTCATTGCCTCTGTACATGCAACTAGTGCATGGAAAGAGCTGTCCTCTTCTAGTCCACAAAGTGGGCAAGTAGCAGTAGTACGTAAGTGTCTATACTGCATGCACTTATGGGTAGCCAGTGCCCCAATGACCGCCTTCCATGCAAGAATTTTCATTTTTTGCGGCACTCCAGCCCGCCAAATCAGGTTCCATATAGGCCTATTTCCATCAGGCTGACTGCTAGAAGCCTCCCCAGCATGAAGCTCCTCATGTTGCTGCATAGCTAGATGATAGGCGCTTCGAACAGAAAATCTAGCATTCCTCTCCGGCTGCCAAGCAATGAAATCCTCTCGGCTTCGCGCAGAAGTCCGGATTTTCAATATTTCCTGAAACATCCAAAGGCCAAAAGTGTTCTCTGACCAGCTGTGTGTTCCAAACCCCATTGCCGTTCAAAAAATCCGAGACTCGGTTTAGTCGACAATTACGTTTGGGTGTGACTGGTCGAAAGGATGGACCCCGAGGAATCCATGGATCACGCCAAGTACGGATTTGAGAGCCACACCCCACCCTCCATATGAAACCCTTCTTTACAAGCTCAAGCCCATGTTCAATTCCTCTCCAAACAGCGGAAGCATTACCTGTAAACACCGTATCCATGAGATTTCCATTAGGAAAATACTTCGCCCTAAGTAGCCGAGAACATAAGCTATCTGGAAACTCCAGTAAACGCCAAGCTTGTTTGGCCAACAAAGCTTGGTTAAAGACACGCATGTCTCTAAATCCCATGCCGCCCTTGGACTTTGGCAAAATCATCTTATCCCAACTCAGCCAAGACATTTTTCTTTTGCCCTTCTCAACACCCCACCAGTACTGTCGCATCAAGTGAGTCATTTCATCACAAATCGACGCTGGCAATCGAAATACGCTCATCACATAAGTGGGTATTGCCTGAGCTACAGACTTAATCAAAATCTCCTTACTCCCAGAAGACATGTATTGTTCACTCCAATCAACTAGAATTTTGCTTAACCTCTCTAGTATAGATTCAAATCTTCCCTTATGCATTCTCCCATCCGGGACCGGAAGACCTAGATACTTAGGGTCAAAAACCTCTTGAGTTACTTCAAGAATATCCTTCACCTCATTCATGACTGTCGTTGAGCAATTGTCAGAGAAAAGGATGGAACACTTTGAGGGATTTATAATTTGCCCCGTCGATGAAGCATAAGTGATCAACAAACCTTTTACCACTGCCGCCTGCTGTCCTGAGGCTCGAAAAAATAGAAGTGAATCATCCGCAAATAAAAGATGAGAGATCCCTGGGGCCCTGCGACAAATCTTCACCGGCTCCAAACCTTCCTCTAGAATGGCCTTATTCACTAGAGCAGACAAGGCATCAGCAACAAATAAGAAGAGGAAGGGAGACAATGGATCACCTTGACGAAGACCCCGTGTCGGCGTAAATGATTCCAGTAACTTGCCATTGAATTTCACCGAGTAATTAACAGACTTAACACAAACCATAATGCGAGCAACCCAAGTATGGGAGAAACCCCACTTAATTAAGGCTTTCTCCAAAAAAATCCCAGTCAACACGATCGTAGGCTTTAGATAAATCCAATTTGTATGCACAAAAATCCGGAGCCCCTTCCTTCAAAGACTGAATGTAATGCACACATTCGAAAGCAATAATTGAGTTGTCAGATATGAGTCGACCCTGAATAAAGGCACTTTGATTTTCTGAAATAAGCTCCTGTAAAAATGGCCTCAATCTATTAACCATGCACTTCGAAACAACTTTATAGATAACATTGCAGAGGCTAATTGGCCTAAAATCCTTGAGGGTGATTGGATGTTGCACCTTTGGAATAAGAACAATTGCCGTATCATTGACCCCATCTGGCATAATTCCGGTCACAAAAAATCCAAAACTGCTTCCACAACCTTCTCCTTCAACACCAACCAATTATGTTGGAAAAAACGAGCTGGAAAACCATCTGGACCTGGTGCCTTCAGTGGACCAATTTAAAACAGCGCATCGGACACTTCTCTTTCAGTAAATGGGGCACAAAGCTTCACATTCATATCATCTGTTACCTTACTTGCTATACTATCCAGCATCACCTCTGGCTGTAATGTAGGATCCTTTGTATACACCTCTTTAAAATAGGATGCTGCCATACGCTCCATATCTGAAGGGACAGAACACCAGGAGCCGTCCTCCTTCCTCAGTCGCTGGATATGATTCCTTCTAGCACGCCAAATAGCACGCCGGCGAAGATACTTGGTATTCCTCTCCCCCTCCTTGAGCCAAGTTATACGCAAGCGCTGCAACCACAACATCTCCTTCCTGTATAAAAGCTCGTCTAGTTCATTCATCTTCTGCCGGATAGTCGAGCGATCAATACTACTCTGTTGCATAGCATCCAATTCAGCACGTAACTTCTCAATCTCCTTCAAAACGTTACCAAACTTTTGCTTACTCCAGACTTTAAGATTTTGCATTAATTCTTTCAGTGAACCAGCAACTGAACCGAGGTCACCAGCAGGCAAGTTCACATTCCACGCTCTTTGAACAACCCCTGGGAGCGATGGGTCACGCTCCCACATGATCTCGTACCTGGGTGCAGCCTGGCTCCGCTGACTGCAGTCCGGAGCAAACTGCAGGAGGACCGGAATATGATCCGAACACGGTGAAACAAGGTGTTGGACACGTGCCCGAGGAAACATGTCCCTCCATGCATCATCCGCACAAGCTCGGTCCAGTCTAACTCGAACATTACCATCAGCAATCTGGCCATTATTATATGTGAACGGGGCACCCGTGAAACCAAGTTCCCAAAGCTCGCATTCAGACAAAGCATCCCGGAAGGCCACCATCTTACTCTCCCCTCGCAAGGTCTTTGAAAAATGCTCATGTTGCCAAAGGGCCTCATTAAAGTCTCACACAAGCCACGGATCGTCAGAGATGCCTTTCAGACGAGTCAAATGAGACCACATCAAATGTCGGTTCTCCACCCTTGGTTCTCCGTACACAAACGTACATCTCCATTGGACACCAAGACTATTATCCAGGACCAACACATGAATGTATCGTGCACATGAATCAAGAACAGTAACCTGCAGGCTTTCATCCCAAAAAAGAGCCAAACCCCCGCTTAATCCATCACTAGAAACACCACAAAAACCTTTCAAACCCAATCTCCACTTAAGTTTCTCCACCTTAGCTGAAGCTTGTCTTGTCTCGCACAGGAAGACAAGCTTGGGGACGTTAGCTTTTACGAGGGCCAACACCTCACGAACTGTCCGGAGGTTCCCCACCCCCCGGCAGTTCCAGAATAATGTATTCATTGCTCCCGGTGGTACTCCTCGAGGGAGCCCGCCGATTCAACATTGCCATCTTCACCACTCATGTCAGTTTTTGCACGCTTAATACTTGAACTGTTGGTAAGGAATTCAATTTGAGCTAGATCCTCCCCCTTACCATCAGTAATTGCTAGTACCCGAGAAGGAACAGTAACAACAAGCGTACCATTACCTCCCTCTACCTCCAAATTCGACCGCTTTCTTATATTTCTGTCGAGGTCCATGCTCTCTCCCAGAAGCTTCTTTGGGCTAGATGCCATATTAGCAACCTCTGGGTCAGCCACAACTTGATCCGATCCAAGCCCCTTGTCAGCCAGAATATCATGGGCATAAACCTTGGAAGAGCCAAGGCTAGCTGAAGCACCAACAGTACTACTACGTGGATTCTGCTCAAAAACTGCACCTGCATGTGTCCTGTTTGGTGGATCGGCGTACAACCACTCACCAAACTTCAAATCTTTTTCAGCATAAATACCAACCCCACACTCCTTATGACCATGTCCAACCAAACCACAGAACCTACAAAACTTTGCAAGTTTCTCATATCTCACGCAAAAAAAACTTGGCGTTCTTTTGATCTAACAATACTCACAAACTTGGTCAGCGGTTCCCGAACATCATGACGGACACGAACACAGATGTAATCACCGCGCGTATTGCCCGCCAGCCTCATCTCCAGGATCTTTCCCGACTTGTTCAACAACTTCTCAACAAGCTCCTTCTTACAATACCCATCCGGCAATTTGTGAATTTGCAGCCAGATTGGCATGTGGACAATGCTGATCTCTTCAGCTTTAGTGAAGCCGTCATACAGACTTAGAAGTACAGCCCAATTTCTAAACAGCCATGGACCTTGCTCTATCACACGCTCCCAATCACCGAGACACGCCGCCTGAACAACGAACAGGTTAGGGCCAACAGGTCGGAAGCGAATCTGTTGCGCAGGGTTCCACGCAGCACGCATGTCATGGTAGAAAGCCGACTGACTGAAGCTTTTTTCTGTATGAACCCTTGCCAACGCAAGCCATCATACACTGTCCTTGATTGCAGGGTCATCATCATTGATCTCGACATCGTCAAACTCTTCGTCGTTTAAATCCAGTTGGCCAAGTAAATCATCAATATTGGTTCTCTTGGTGCT